AGAGCACCTCTACTCAACTTGTGGCTTGGCATTATTTCAGCTACCAGTTTACTTCAGGAACAGTGGATCATGGAGAACAAGGTCAATCAACATGTCACATATTTAAACAAGCAGCAAACAGCAATGCAACTCTTGGAAAAAACATAAAAATACCATCACACAGAGATTAAAATCATGCATTGCTTTTTGCCTGGAGGAAAAGGAAGTAGCCTGCTTCTATCCCCTCTCCAATACCCATCATTTAGGGATGCTGCTCGCACAAGGACAAGTGCCTTGTGGTGATGCTTTCAATTCTGCACCTTCTAGGGAAGATAACACACTGCGGAGCTATTTTAAGAACATCTCATTCACAAAGGTCTCCAATTCCGTCTTCAGAGACAGAGACGATTTTCTTGCTGCTTCAACATCTTTACTGGCTTGACATTTGCTTCAGAGGGAATTCATTTGCTGTTCCAACATCAGAATGGAGCAAGAGCAGCTGCCAGGAGAGGGATAAAAGGAAACACTGTCGACAAAGAGCAGCAGGGTCATTTCTGGTGCAAAGAAAAATAGAACAGAGAGAACCGCAGAACTGACACTTTCTCCAGAAAGCAGCAGGGGATAAAGATGTCCCCTCTGCCTCCTGCAACTGGTGTTTAGGAAGGGACTAAACAATCAGGCTTAAGTTTGTAAATGACGAATTATTACAAAAACCAACTGTAAGCCCCTAAGCATTCCCACTTAAAGCCAAGTTCACGCTTAAATGCTGCAGTCAGCAAAGAACTCAACAAGTCCTTCAGAGCTCTCCCAAGAAAACACTTCTGGTTAGAAAGCTCTCCTGGTGGCCTGACTGACAGCCTCACCACAGGTCACCTGCTTGGCTGGATTACTCGATTCTTTTCCCTCTATCTTATTAAAGTGTTGCCCTGAGCAGGGCAGGGATTTGTTCCTCATTCCACAAGACAAGCAGATCCTGCCCTCCTCCTAGATGAAGGAATATTGCCATCCCTTCAAAAGTTAAGACAGAAACCTTTATACACAACCAAAGCTAAAACAAAATATTCCTTCCACTGCTTCTCTCTGAATTTTATTAATGGAGGAATTTATTCTTTTCCAGTTTCATGGAGAAAAGGTTTTAAAGACAAAAACTCAGGAAAATTATTCCTTGCAAAGAAAAGGGCTAACACACTCGAACAGCAATTTTAATCCCTTGGTATTTCATGTATATGCTTATTCTGTTGCACGTTAGGATCACAGTTTATTTGGAGCGTGGTATTTATCTGACTAACCAAACCTGCTCAGATTCACAGGCATGAGCACCATGTTTCTGACACCTTAAGGGCTCCAGCATCAGGATTTATGAATTAAATATTTCCAGGGTGTTACAGAACACTGAGGACTGTATCTGCAGAGTGTTATATCAGGGTATGTGTGGGCTTGTCAAACACCCACATGATAAATTATCAATAGTGCAGCTCAGAGCACCCCTTTTGTGGATCAGAGACAAATCTGTGCATTTTATTATGCTTTGTTCCACTTAATGTTATTTTTTTCTGCATTAAAGGCTCACAAAACCCCTACATGCCTAAATGCTGAAGGACATTCATACACAACACATGATCAAAAGACTTATTCTAACATTTCAAGTCCTGTTTTCAAAGCTAGTTCATGTGGGACAAGAAAAAAATGCTGACAAGTTATGTCTGGAACTGGACAACTACATTTTATATTGTTCAAGATGATACAATCTTTTGTGTAGAATTTTAAGGTTTGAACACTGCTGAGGAGCATTAAAGAAACAGGGCTAGCTGATTACAAAGGGTCTGCCATCCCTTGAGTGTATGCAGAGCACTGTCAAAGAGACTGTACCCCTGCAAACCAAGTGTCAAATCCGAGAGGAAAACAAATCTCTCAAGAGTCAGAAAAGACTAAGCTCGAAGCTGTGGATTTTCAGAAATGAACAAGTGTGAGCCCTGTGTTTCTGATGCACAGAATTGACTTGTACATGCAGTAACAGACCTCTGCCGAGGAAACAAAGGGTCTATTAGGCGAGCACTTTGCAAGTTCCATCTTTTCCTTACTACCCTTCTGTTTTTCCTTACACATACTTCCCTATGAATCAACCCCAGATCTTGTCCTCCTTAACTTTCACAGCATGAACAGCCCAAGAGCAGTTGTACTGAGAGCTCTTAAGTTTCACAGTGTGACAGAGGCCAGGGACACCAGTTGAGAGTGTTTAAGAACCCAGTGTGCAAGGCAGATACACTGGTTAGGGTGGGCCACCCAACGCTGGCACCTGACAGAACTCCATATGGGCACCAAGATAAGTGAGTGCATCCCTCCCCAGGCTTCACCTCACTGAGCAGGGCTGCTGCAGCTTCCCAGGGCAAATAGAACAACATGGCTGTAGCGTTTAGTGCATCTGAAATCAATAAAGTGGGTCCCAGATTTTATGAACACTTTACAGATGGAAGCTGGGGAGTGAGGTTTGGAGTGATCTGGTCAAGGACTCTCAGGAAACACGTGCCAGCGCCAGGACTGCAAACCCTGCACTTCTGCTGCTGAGAATCCACCGACATGACAGCATCTAACAACACTTGCACGGTACTTCTAAGGCAAGACACTTGTTTACCCAGTAAAGTACCTAACTGAACAAACAGCTAAGGTGACACTGTGAGCTTAGACTTGAATAATGGCACTGAGACACTGACCTGCAAGTGCACCGAGAACCCAGCTTCCCATACACATTATTAGGCCACTGCTCCCTTTTACTACTTGAAGAGAAAAAGAAAAGTCCATAATGAAAATGTGTGGGAGAGCTTTAAAAGCCTTCTAGTCCTGCCAACACAGCCCTATGCCCTTCTGTAGCAGCTTCCTTCCTTCTCCCCCACAGCACACCTCCCCAGAGCCCGAGGGGAACAGAATCCAGGAGAACCCTTGGGGTGTGCTGTGTTCAGACCCAGCTTGTTATCAGCTTCAACAGAAACCTCAACCACACAGCTACAAATGTGAGTTCTAAGTAAGTATTCTGTCTCTTCTTCCAACAGTTAATATAAAATGGCTATAAACCAAAATTTGCTTGCCTTTTTTTTTTTTTTTAAGTGCGGTCTCTGTTTTTAAAATGGTGACATGACAGCAAAACTCTGATATAATTGCAGACTGGACTATTAGTAACCGTATTTCCAGGGATACACAGGGATATATATCCTGTGTATGGGTTCCTTTAGGAACCCATCTTCAGTCCGGCAAGACTTTACTTGATTACATTCTCAAAGAGCAGGCAAAAATTACGCAAACCCCATTGTTATAAAGTATCCCCAAAGCACCAAACCCATTCCTGCAAAGATTTTGCAGTTTTGGGAACCACAGCAGGCTGTCACATTCACGCTCTCTCTTCCTCCCCCGCAGAGGAGCCCGATGCTGTCCGGTTTCCAGAGACGAACAGAAAGGACAGGTGACAGGACGGCACCTTCAGGGCTGCTTTCCTGCCCGCACAGGAGCCAGGGCCAGCGAAGGAGAGGCTGTGAGCCCCTCCCAGCACAGCAGGAGCAGACCCCCGTCAGTCCCTGCCTGCCTCTGCTCCCTTCAGTTACCTGAAGGAACCTCCTCATCACCCTCACGGTAATTTAACTCTACCGCCATGGGAAAGGCTCCAGTAACCTGGGAGAGTTTTCCTGAGGTAAAACTATTAATCAGATATGATTAATATTCACATGAGAAAATGGAAGGTGTTAAAACTGTCGAGTTCTTACCCACCCCCGTGTTTTAGGGAACACTGGTGCCTTACCCAAAGACACTGCAGTCCCCAAGCATGCAGACTCATAGCGTGAGGGAACTAAAACAACCACCAAAGAACATTTCGGTCCTGGTTAACACGTACCTCGCGGTGAGCCCCCTGAGCGCGTTCTGAGGAGGGAAGGGAGCCTTGCAGACTGCCGCGGGCAGCGGTGCTGCTGGGAGCATCTACAGCCTCTCATTAGCGCTTTACTTCCCTCTCCTGCCAAGGGGAGCTCACGCACGGCATGACATGCTGCCCCAGCCCAGGGGCCCCGCTGCCAGCCCCGCATTTGCGGCTCTCCAGTCCTCAGGGACTGGAAAAACAGGCCCCGAAACCCCACAGACCGCCACGCCCTTCGCGGGCAGCCCCCGTGGGCCCCCGTGCTGTGGGACCCGAGGGCACCGTGACCCGGGCGGGAGCAGAGCGGGCACAGAGGGAGCCGCTGGCGGGCGCCGGGAGCGGGCAGTGGGAGGGCACAAGGACACGCCGGGACCCGGCGCGGCACCGCAGCCCGCCCTCACCGCGGCTGGCACCGCGCTGCCCGCCGCCCCCTCAGCGCCCACAGTGACCCCGCGCGCGCCGCGTCCTCACCTCACCCCGCCCCGGGACGCTATTGGCTCCGTCCGCCGCCCGTCAGCGGATCTCCTCCGCCCATTGGCCGTTTAGCCGCCTGTGGGACGGCGGAACGGCCGCTTCCTCATCCGTCACGCGGCGCCGCGCTCCGTGATTTGTGGGGCGGCTGCTCCTTCACCGCCCACCGGCTCCGTCCACTGGTGAGGAGAGCTGTCGGTCACGCCGCCGCCCCGCCTCCCAGTGCCATTGGCCCAGTAACCTCTTTTCGGGCTTTCGTTTCTCTTCATTGGCTAATTGGATTGGATGGGCCGCTGCGATTGGGCGAAAAGCGGGTCCCGGGGGCGGGACTTGGCTCAGGAGCAGTGTCCATTGGCCGGCGGCCCCCTGTGAGTGGCAGGAAGGTGAGGGAGGCGGGGCCGCCCGGGGTGAGGGTTGTGTGAGGTGAGGGAATCTCGCGGGGTCTCGGCGGCTCCGGGCGCGGCGGCGCGCGGTGATTGGCCGGCGGGGTCACGGGGGCGGTGCCGCGCCGTGGTGGGGATTCGCCACTTTTCCCCCTCCTCCGCCCCCCCCCGCGATCCCTGTCCTGCCCCGGCCCTTCCCTTCCTCTTTCTGTTTTTATCTTCTTTTAGCCCCCTCGCCCCCCTCTCCTCGCCCTGCGCCCCCCCCTCACTTTCTCTGGGTCCTTGTGTGTGTTTCAGGCCTTCAAGGAAAAGTTGCAAACTCCCGAGTTGTTGCTGCTGTGAGGGAGCAGGTGCCTGGAAGGAGGGAGCAGGTGTCTGGAAGGAGGGAGCGATGATGTAGGAGGTGCCCGGGCTCAGGGAGGTTCGGGGGACACATGGAGAGGGTGTGGGAATGGCAGGGCTAGGCTGGCCGGCCCTCGCGGGGTGTTCAGGGCAGAGGCTCCGAGCCCTCCCTCCGGAGGGAAGGGGGATTGATCACGGTGTTTAATTTTTATAACAAGAAAAACGACAAAAATAACCAAAAGTGAAGGAAAAAACCCACCCCAGCCCCACCCCAGCTGCCCAAGGATGGAGTTGGAGTAGCCAAGCCCGGCTGGATGCTGGGGAAGGGGTTGGCGCCCGCACACATGAAGAGACTCCCCGAGTTGTTTGGCTTCGCGAGGAGATAAGGCCAGTGGAGCTCCATGTTTTTAAAGGTGGGCCGTGTATGATGAAACCCAACTTCTTTTAAAGTGTAGCAGATTTAATTTTTGTGGCCAAATGACAGCTTGACCCAGTTGTTATCCAATCAAAGGGCATTTTTTTGAATGTCTCTTTGTGGCACAACAGCCAACGCAAAAATGATGGCGGCTTACAATGGCGGTACGTCTGCGGCAGCAGCAGGTCACCACCACCACCATCACCACCACCTTCCTCACCTCCCTCCTCCTCACCTCCATCACCACCACCATGCTCAGCACCACCTGCACGCCGGCTCGGCGGCCGCGGTGCACCCCGTGCAGCAGCATGCCTCCTCGGCCGCCGCGGCCGCCGCAGCCGCGGCCGCCGCCGCCGCGATGTTGAACCCAGGGCAGCAGCAGCCGTACTTCCCATCCCCGGCCCCGGGCCAGGCCCCCGGACCGGCTGCAGCAGCCCCAGCTCAGGTACAGGCTGCAGCAGCTGCTGCAGTCAAAGCGCACCATCATCAGCACTCACAACATCCACAGCAGCAACTGGACATTGAGCCGGACAGACCCATCGGATACGGAGCCTTTGGTGTTGTCTGGTGAGTAGAGACAAAAGTGAACCGATACCTCCTTGTCATTCTTTACCTGATCATAACTCATCCTTGTTTTTGTCATTTGAATCAGAATACAAGAGAGCTGCTTACTAAGAGTTTTTTTGCTGGTTCTTCTCCGTTCTTAGAAAGTTGCTTCGCTTGTTTGCGTTGGCAGAACGAGGTTCCCAGTGGTGAGGAGCCACCTCTGACTAACAGCCCACCCTGCCGTTCTCTTCTGAGACAATGCAGCTTGTTTGTGCCCTTTCTGTACCTTTAATTAGAGTGTGCAGCTAAGCCGTGCTTCCTAAAATTTCAGGTTAACAAATGAGCATTAGAATATTCATTTTGACCCGGCTTAAGAGTCAGAAATGAAAAGCGTATGAAAATGTCTTCCTTGTGCAGTCACCTGTCAAGATCTTTGTCTCACGGCGGTTTGACCTGCGGTAGTGCTGTGTGCTACCTAAAACAGCACAGCTGAACTTTGCTCCCCTCTCAAAAATGGAAATGGGATTTCCTGCCTCGCTGTAGCTCTGCCTCCGGCCCTTTTATCCCCCAGCCGCATTTCAGAGGAGTCTGTCAGCGGAGCGGAATCTCTCCTAATGCATTTTGTGACTACCTTAGAGCCATGTATGTAATTAGTGCCCTTCAGGAGCACCGACACAAAGCTGGCAGCAGTGTCTATATATATTTGTATATAAATGTTTGTCAGCGTGCCCTGCTCCGAGCTGTGCCTGGGAAGCACGAAGGCTGGCAGGGGGTTGTTCTGGAGAGCAGGCGTGTTGCAGTGCACTTCCTGCAGCACGAATGCAAAGTTTGCAGCGTGCAGCTGTGCCTGGTGTCCCAGCCCCCTGCCTGGTTCCCAGCCGAGCCTCTGGGGTGCCCCAGGAGTTTTGCTTTAGGCACTGGCCGAGCTGCAGCTCCAGTGAGAGGAGTGGCCGGGCCACGGCTGTGCCAGTGTACCGAGGCAGAGGGCTCAGCAGGGCAGGCCTCAGGAGAGAAAAACCCCTCGTGCCTGCAGCCCAGCCCTTCAGGGTGGCCACGCGTCACCAGCCCGGTGCTGGTAGCAAAATGGTGCTTTGTGAGAAGGCCAAGGGAGCTGCAGGAGCGAGGTGCAGGTCAGTGCTGTGCTTGCTCTCGTGTGCCTTCCCTCAGAGCTGGGGAGTTAATTTAAACGCCGAGTTCTCCCAGTCGGAGGGGAGCTGTTGTGCAGTCAGCACTGCCGTGCTCTGGCTGTGGTACAGCATTAAAAAGTGGGTGTAAAAGAATGAAAACTGACAAGGAATCTGCTGTAAAAAATTATCTGAAGGTATTTCCATCAGTTTCTGTATTTTTTAAAGTATGGCGTTCTATAACTTAATTTGTTACAGTCTTTGCTTAAATTTATGTCGTTATGTAAGATCAGCCCTTTTTTTACCGGTGTTTCGTTTGCCTGTGCATTTCCCAGGTCTTCGTTTTCCCAGTTCTGTTCGCCAAAAAGCAGGGTGCAGAGAGAGATCTGCTTCCATGATATTCAGTAGAATGAAAGGTCACGCTTGCATATTTAAATATAATATCATTAAGAGTGCTGGGGGCAGAGAGGAGGTGTAGAGGGAAGGGTCTGACTGACATCAGGTAGGAGAGAGTGCCAAAAGCATCCACCCATCCCGAGCCCTGGGCTGCACACCTGCGGCCGCCCGGCAGGTGCCCCGGGGGACTGTGCCTGCAGAGCTGCAGCTACGGCCTTGCTTGGAGGTAACAACAGCTCGGGAAAGAGAAAACAGCAGAGGGGGAGGGTGTTAGCTGAAAGCAGAAGCTGGGAGCTGGGATCCCTCCGGCAGAGCTGGGGCTGCACTGGCCGAGGGTGTCATTGGTGGGAGTGAGTTCCTCTTTGCTCACGTGGGTTTGATTTCAGTGGTCACTGCTCAGCTTTTGGCATTTCGTGTTAACTTCTGCTGGTGAGGGCAGGCTCAGTTTAGGGGTCTGTAAGCAGTAATTAAACTGAATTTCAGTTTCGTTCAAAATGTGCAAGAATGCCCGTGTAATTGAATTTTAGCTATGTGAGATAAAGTAAACACTGACTTGAGTATTTATAGTTTGAGGTGACTTGGGCATGAGCAATGTGCACTTGGGTTCAGGCGTGACACGGGATTCAAAGCCTGAGTGACTTTGGAAGGAGGATTCATTGTTTCTCAGTACCTTGTCTGAGCATTATTTGTGCTAATAGGTGACTGAAAAGTTTTCATCAGTGCTTCTGAGGGAAATGGTTGTTATTCCATCGACAGTCGGGGTACTTGCACGAGACTTCCACCTGCTCTGGTGTGTCAGTGCTTTGTTGGGAGGTACAGCTGACCTGCAGTCAGTTCAGTGCATCACACGAGCGATCAGCGTGCGGACTTGCGCTTCCCGTTACCTCACCCAGAGAGATTTTCTCTTGGCAGTTGAATTAGCATTTGTCATTAGTTCATTTGTCTGCTACTCGATGATGTTTCGGGGTAGCTAATGTGCTGCTGGAGTTTTTCACTCGGGAAGAGCCAAAGCCTGGTGCTTCAGCACTTTGGTTATTAACCCCTGCAGGCAGGCGCTGCTGCCCTGGTGTCTGTGCACACAGCCACGTCCTCGCTCAGCTGGGCACCACTTGGGGGAAATCAGCTGTCCCTGGCACAGCATCTGCTCTGCCTGCTGACCTGGCACGGGGAGGGTGTTGCTGAGCAGGGGCAGGTCTGCAGGGACTTTCCCCCGGTCCTGCAGGTTTGTTTCCCCGCACTCTGGCGTGGTGAATTGCTGCAAACCCAGTCATGTTCCTCATTTGCCAAAACCAGAGTGATTTGCTCTTGGAGTGTTCCCTGCTCTCATGTTCCTAAAGTGCTGAAAAAATCCAGATTTTAGTGTCATCGACAAGCTCTGTCTGTGTCCTGTGGTTCAGACTGAGTGGGACTGAGTTTTGGAAGTCTTGTGTCTGTTCCAAGAATGAGGAGCTGTCCTTTGGAGAAGTGCTCCCAGTTTTGCTGGGGAGACATGCTGCTGCCATCTGGTGGGATTCCTAAAAAAATAATAATAATGATAATTAAGAAAATGTATCAATTGAACCTGCCAAGGCTGCTAGGTTTGAAAGGAGGGGTGAAGCCTCAGTCCCTGTGCAAGAGGTGCTGGTGCTGTTTTCATGCAGGTTCCTGGACTGGTGAAGAGGCTCTGCAGCTGCAGGAGGGACATAGGGAATAATGACTCTTGCTGCTGGTTCAAGGTGGTAACCCTGCTGCTGAAATGTGGAAATGTCCTGTTGGCTGGGATGTATCTACTCCAGTGGGACAGGAATGTAAGGGGTGCGGGAATTCTACTTGTCTTCCTTGTGTCTCTCAATTTTGAAAAGTTCCTGTCGTTCATCAAAAACTGTGGAACCAAGCAATCTCTCTTAATAATGTCAAATCCATGTTAAAATGCATCTCTGTGGGAAATCTGTTACAAGTGACAATAGAAGGAAGTGTTTGAATTACTATTTTTTAAATTCCTGATTTACTCCATTTGAAATTGTGTGTGTGGGTTAATGTACTTGCACCTAATCCTTTTTCTTCAGTGTTCCAAACAGTTTGGCTGTTGGTGTTGAGACAGGACATCATGTTCAGGCTGTCATAACTTTAAGGGCAGAAATAATTTAGCCTTAATCTACTGTTTGTTCCTGGCCTGCAAAGGCCTGAAAATGCCAAAGTCATTGCTCCATGAAACCCAAAAGAATATTGCATACAATGGATTGTTGCCTGGACCCTGGAACTATTTTAAGAGGGTTTTATCCCAGCGCTGATACTAAGCACAGCAGCAGGAAAGACGTTTCCAGGATAAACTGATAATCTCCCTTTCCTTTAAAGGAATGTGTCCTGCTGAGCAAGGAGGCAGTGGGGATAATGTGTTTGGGACAAAATTGCCAGAATGTGTATTAAGGAAAAAAAGGTGTTATGGGTTCAGAGAAGTCTGAGAAGTGGCAGGAGAAGTTCCCCTTGTGCTATCTGATATTGCTGAAAACCACAATGATGTTTGGCATAGTTAATACTACAAGGATGCCTAGGCTGGTAAGCAAGGAAAGTTTAGCAAAAGCTGAACTATAGACATTTATTTTATGAAATGCATTAGGACTTTTGGTGGGAGAGGCTTTTTCTGAAGTTAAAGCTATAATGTTTTTCCAGTCCCTCAAACCTCAGTTGCTAGCAGAAGACAGTAGTTGACCACAGGAAGTACTCTCTGTTAATTAACAGGTAACGTGACATTTTGTGTTAGGCTGAAGCGACATTTTTGTTACTGCGGGGCAGTGCTGGCTCTGTTCTGCTGCTCCCCCACCCCAGAGGAGAGGGCTGGGGTGGAACCCCGGGCCCAGGGCACAGAGCAGGGGCACAGAAGGGCTCTTGGCACTGCGCTCTCGCCTCCCCCAGCGCCGCGGGGCCGGGCTTAGACCGCGAGTTTTGCACTCTTTGTGTTCTCCTTCAGTGAGTTCTGCTGTTGTCTGATGCACATAGACACTGATTTCATAAGGAGGCAGAGTCATTTTTATCCAGTTATTGGAGGGAACCGGGAGGATGCCTAAGGCAAAGGAGGCAGCACTGGCAATGGGCACGGAGTAGAGTGGGGATGGGGTTTCACATTCACCATCACAATGGAAGGAGCTGCAGGTCCCTTGGATCCCTGTGTCAGGATTTTTTATGGGATTGCTTTATCTAAATTGGATTCTGACCTTATTTGTGAAGAAATGTAGTAGAACAATGACCTTATTCAGGTTTTTCTATGTGGGAAATTTTGCAAAGCTTTATATGTTTGAGTGGTTGGGGATTTTTTTTCAAATTTCCTGACAAGAAAAATTCTGTTAACATTTAAATGACTGTTTCCCAAATGGAGTGAATTAAATGAAATGGATATAATAACTCCTTGCATTCAAATTAGACGTTGGGATTAGGTGAAATTCTATCCAAGTAATATACGAGTTGTTCATTATTGTCTTGTAACATGATGCAAGAAAGAAGGAATGTGAATAGCATTTTTTTTTC